GTTCTATTTTCAGAGTTCTAGGGGACATTTTAGGTGATTTGAGGGTCCCTTTTCTCATGATGTGTTAGAGCCAGCACGAAGGATGAAAACAAAACTCACGTAGGTCCAGTCTTGAATGAATCACCAGAGATATTTTGCCACAGTCACCTTACGTGGTCTGTACTCTGAAAGTTATTTTGTATCATTGAAGTTATTATAATATAACCCACATTTGTGGTGACTGTCACCGATTGTGATGATCTTAAAATGATGGCTGTAACTGTAGGTTATCTTGTGACAATCTTAAAGACTCTTGAAATGACTTGTGGTGGCAATCTTCATTCTCATGGGCATCTGGGTAGGATGAGAATGTTGCCACCAGAGGTATTTGTATGATAGCCAAAAGCAATATTTGGCAATAGTACCAAATGATTGATCATTACAGAATCCATGGGATGAAACCATATATACTACATGTCTTACTGAGCTGACTTCCCTGCAAGTAGGAGGGATTCACCTGTAGGTGAATAAAAATCTGTTCTTGTTCAGCTCTGATAAATAGTGTCTTTGTTCTCTGATGTATTTTGTTAATGTTACATCAAATAGGAAAGGTCTGTCTACTTTACAAACAGAAGCAAAACCATCATACAATTATTCTCATTTAGCAATTATTGAGCATTAATTGAAAGTTGGCATGCTGGAAAACTCACTTCCTGTGGGAGAATTATTATTTAGAGCACCACAGATACTGTGTAATGTACATAACATATTTCAAACAGCAATTTATTAAAAATTACAATGTTTTCCCTAGAGAATGGATTAGCTATTCACCATTAGGACCAGGTCTAATATTTATGAAATGTTCACAAATGATTCATTATGTTTCATTTACAAATAGACTCTAATGGGAGACATTTTTATTTGAAGTGCTATTTTAATGAATTGTCTGTTTTTATGAATTCATGTCCAAGACTGAAATAATTCCTTTTTGCTCCCTTTCCTTGACCTTACACTTGAGCCTGCCGCTGCTTATCTGTGTTTCCTATTTCTTCTATTCAGATCATGTGATCATTCCCTCTGTAGCCTGAACTAGAAAACCTTGGACATATTTGTGACTCTCCCTCTCCCTCACACCCCGTTTCCAATCAGTCACCATGTTTAAGTGGTTCCTTGTTGCCTATCAAATAAAAGGAGTCAGCTCTTCTTAATCTGAAGATACATTCACAGCCTGGGAACCATAATGTTCCAGTTTTCCATTCTCCACCAAGCAGACTATCCTAGCCCCCACTATGAGATGCCTTTCCCTCCCTTTTTCCCTTCAAAAGCCAGCTCAAGTGTTGTCTCCTTCCTTTAACTTTCCAGATATTTTTACTCCCTCTCCCTAGACAGAATCAGTAACTCCCTCATTTATTCTTTTATAGACGTGTATGCATACTTCTCAGTTGTCTTTACTTATCTATACATTTAGCTTATACATAAGACTGTAAGGTTTTTGAAATCTCACTGTTTTATTTTTGTATCTTCTATGTATACCATGTTTACTTAGCACATAATAAGGCTTTAATGAAGCTTGCTTGGCTGAGTTGAAAATTCTATTAAAAGAAGAAACAAAACGAAGTTATGACTCAGCCGATATTTCATGTGAATACCACTGTGCGATTGGTAATGGAGATAAAGTAGATGTAGGTGAAGAAGAAAGTCTGACAGCAGTTCACTTAGTGTTCCAAATAGAATAGTTACAGAGACAGCAGCTTAGAGCAGAAAGGTAAATCAGAGACTACCTTCATCCAAATAACTTACTTTCATTACATTATTCTCTCTCTTCACCCTGCTGCTTGCCATTTTCTATGCCAGTTTCCTAGAAAAGCACTTTATAGTCCCTAGACCATAGTAGACACACAATAAATATATATTGTATCAATGAAAGAACAAATGAAACAATTCCCCCTCTTTCATTTAACAGATAAGAAAACAGACTCAGAGATACAAAGAAGAGGAAAGCTGAAACCATCCCTTCTCCAAGCTGCCACTACATTATCTACATTGAACGAAGTGCTTTTACTTCATTTATGCAACTTTATCCTCTCAGGAAAATTATACAACTATTATGTTACATAAAGAACTTACATGAAGTTTAAAACCTGTGCCCTGTGATCACACCATGACGCTATTTTTTTATGCAGTGTTTATTGTATAGTATTTCCTCTGCCACTTGCTGGCATGGTATTCATGGACAGTAATAGGACTGATGATTGGTTTGATGCTCAGAAAATCTCTGCTTTCCTTATCTGTGTTTTTTAGATGGAAGCAAATGACTAAACACAGGAAGCTATGATCTAGTGGCAAGATTATTAGACTTGAAGGCTGAAAATCAGAGCTCAGCTCCTAATCTTGTGATCTTATCTTGAACAAATCCTTCATCGTCTTGGAAACTCAGGTTTCTCATTTATAAAGCATAGTACATACTACCAATTTTGTAGAGTTATCTGATGAACAGATGAATGAATAATGACTATGAAAATATAGTTTGTCCACATACAATTAAGGTATTCTTTTTATTCAGCTGATGTAAGAATGAGGAAATGTGTATAAAAAGGTTTCCTCGGCTATACATTTACGTTCTTGTATTCTCTTTGTTACTGTTTTGCAATTTCAGTGTACCACAGCCTGAATTTGCGTAAACAGATAATAGCAGAATAAATAAGCACTTCCTCACTAATATGACTTCCATGCAATATAGCATATTTAAATGAAATTCTGCTAATTCTTTTGAATACAATTGAACAGTAATAGAGAAATAATAGTTAAAAAGATATTTATTCTTGTCATGAGCTTCCATTCTCATAAGAAAATCAAAACAATCCAAGAAAAGAGACAATATGAAAATTAACATCATTACACAGACAGTAGTAACTCTGATGAGAAAAGAAGCCATTGGCAGCTTGTTTTAGCAGTAATTGAAAATGTGACTTTTCAAATGTTCTGTATTAGCTGCAGCTCTAAATGCATACATTTACAAATGAATCTGATAAAAATATAATTTGCATTTCTCAGTTACATAAATCATGTCTTTTATCTCAAGCAAGGTACAGAATGTGTCATTTGTTTCTTGTTGATGACTTCATCTCTGCTCTTTAATGTCAATATTACCCCATGACCCAGTATCAACATTTGTTATGTTCATTGCTTTCCATTTTTAATAAAATGTTTTTCTAAAACAAAAACAAACCAAAGTAAGAGAAATTATGATGTATTTTTCAGTATAGCTCTAAAAATCTCTGAATACAGTAGAGAGCCCTGGGGTACTGGGTATGAATAAAACCTTAGAAGTGATCTAGTTCTGACCCTCATCTTAGTGTTCAGAAAATGAAGCTATAAGTGGCTGAAAAGAAGATATACCAGTTTTCAGAGAACAAAAACAAGGATAGAGCTCCAGACTATCTTTGAGCGTTCTTCTTACTATACTAAATCAGAAAATAATCAATTTTAACACATATAACTTAATTCTCATTTATCCAAATGATATCAGGAAAAAAGGAAGCTTTGCTCAAAATTTTTATGTTAACTCTTCAGATGTGGATACTGATGGGCTGATGATATGTATCTTGGAGAAAACTAAATAAATTGGATGATAGGAGATCTCAATAGCCTGGAACAATTGGCTATATCTAACAAAAGAGAATATAACAGCGATAGACACAAAGTCAGCACTTACAGTACAAAAACTAATGGTAAAAGTACACGAAGTGGGACATATGGTTTAACAGCAGAATATAATTTTTTTCAGTACTGGCTGTTTTTAAAGAACTAAAAGTTATATAAATTTACTCTTGTACTTTTTCCCAAATCAACTCAATTCCACTTAACATAATAGAAGTATATACAGAACAACAAAGGTGTTAAATCTGGTCTACTCTCTCCTCCTGGATTCTCAATATAGATACAGACACTGACAAATGTCAGTGTAGATCATGGAGAGGAAAGACCAGAGTGTTAAGTGACTCAGACCCAAGCCCTTTGGGAAAGGTGAAAGGAATTGGATCTGTCTCTCCGGAAAAGAGAAGAACTACATTTGTTGTATGGGAAAATTGAGCATGAGAGGAACATGTATTTTGTAATAAAGAAGGCTAATTGATTGAATGGAAAGAATTTAAGGTACAGAGGGCATGAGTTTGAGTATTGGCACATTGTTAGTCAGTGCTGTGACCCTGAGAAAAATCTCTAAGAAACTGCATCTCAGGTTCTTGAGCTGCAATATGAGAACAGGAATATCTACATTACAAGAGTCTTGTGAAAACTAAATTAAACGACATATGTAAAATATTTACAGTACAGGGAATGCATTTAATAGCCAACCATGGTCTGGGCATGGTGGCTCATGCCTGTAATCCCAGAACTTTGGGAGGCTGAGGTGGGCAGATCACCTAAAGTCAGAATTTAAGACCATCCTGGCCAACATAGTAAAACCATCCTGGCCAACATGGTAAAAATTAGTCTCAACTAAAAATAATAAAATAAAATAAAATAAAATAAAATAGAATAAAATAAAATAAAATAGCTGGATGTGGTGGCAGGTGCCTGCAATCCCAGCTTCTCAGGAAGCAGAGGCAAGAGAATTGCTTGAACCTGGGAGGCAGAAGTTGCAGTGAACTGAGATTGTTCACTATACTCCAGCCTTGGTAACAGAGAAAGATTCCATCTTTCTCTCTCTCTACATATATACAGAGAGAGTCAACCAACATTGACCTTTCCAACCAGTTCTCAGGTAGAGTCATTAGTGATTTTTATTAGATAAGTGTCTTGTAGAAGGATTATATAAGCAGGTATGAGAAGGTTAGGCATCTGAGATCCTTGCCAATGCAGCAAGATATATTTATATGTTGACCAACAACATTTTATTGTACTTTATTCTAATAAGGATTATTATTTAAAATAGTGGATGCCTTACAAGTTATATTGCCTTATAAAACTACAAGAAACTTTCACTAGTATATGTAATAAAATGGTGCTTATTTACTTACCTATAAAGTGCAGAAAGGGGCCTCTTGTTTCCAGGTTTTGGTCTGTATGGTTTGGGCTCTCCTGCCATGTTGATATCTGAAAGCATAAAATAAAACAGCACTGATTAAGAAAATATAAAACCACTTGAGAAAAGTAAATCATACACTTTTATTTTTCTTTTTGTTATTTGTTTATGCAAATATTGCCACCATTAATTCATTCAACATATATTTATGGAGCATTTACTCTATGCCAGGCACTGTTTGGGATATGTCACGTACAAAACAGATTATGTCTCTGCCCTTGTGGAACTTACATTCTACTGGGGGAAAAAAGTAAGAAACAAACATAATCAATAACAAATATATATCCATATTAGAAAACGATGAGTACTATAAACAGCCAAAACGTTGAGTACCGTGAGGAGAATCAAGAATGCTTCCCTCCACCCCTAAAAGATAGGGTCTTGCTCTGTTGCCCAGGCTGGAATGCAATGGTGCAATCACTACTCACTGCAACCTTGAACTCCTGGTCTCAAACAATCCTCCTTCCTCTACCTCTGAAGTAGCTAGGACTACAGGCATGTGCCACTATGCCTGGCTAATTTTTTAAATTTTCTGTAGAGATGAGGTGTGGCTAGGAGGCCCAGGATGTCTCAAATTCTGGCCACAAGCAATTCTCCTGCCTTAGCCTCCCAAAGTGTTGAGATCACAGGTGTGAGCCACTGCGACCGGCCAGAAATGCTTCACAAAACAAAAAGAGAATGAAATATCCTTCTGATTTTCAATTTCCGCTAAGAATTTTTCAGTATGCATAAACATTTGTATGAAATATAGTTCTGTTCATGGGAGAACTTATTAAATTTTCTGTGATATATTTTCCATTTATATAGAAAAGGAAGCTAGAAGGATTTGATCATAAATCATACCATGTTTACTAAAGAAACAACAAAATGCACTCAGCCACTGGAATATGCAGTTACAGAGTTCCAAGGTGGTCAAAAGGAGAAGAGAGCACATATTTTTGCCTTCATGAACTGAAAATATTATCGTCTCTGAGATAGACAAAAAGAGGTTTAAGTATGTGACAAAACAGTGTATGCATACAATTGACCAACCTCAATCTTAAAGAAATATGTAAAACTGTTAAGAAATTGGAAAGTTGGGTGGACAAGGTTTGGAAGGTAATATAAATAACTAGATTAAATAAAGTTATAATTTCTAAATGATGATAGAAAGGGAAATCTAAAGGAGATGAGCTACAAGAAATCAGGGATATTATTTTGACAGAAAGCAAAGGGAAAACTTCTATTTCTTGCACAGTGGACCAAACATACTGAGCTATCTACCACTGAAAACAACCAAAAATTCTGGATAGAATTTGAATGTATCTTTTTAAAAAATGTAACATAAAACTAGCAAGAATGTAAGAGATTTGAATATCCCACGCCTGAGTAGAAATAGGAAATTAAATAGAAAAAGAACACTGCACCTAGCTTGTTCCTTAAAGATATTTGCTGCAGCCAGAGCATGAGCTTTAGTTTTCACATCCTTGTGGTTCAGTGGAGACAGGTGACTATGCCCAGGTTAAGGAATATGAGACAAATAATCATCAGATTCAACATATGTGACAAATATGTGACAAAAATCTTTAGCAACTAGGAAGAGAAGACAAATTCCTTACTTAATATAAGAAGATCTGCAAAAGTCTGTATTAAACATTATACCTAATAGTGAGACATTGGGCACATTTGCTTTAAGATAAGAGAATTTAAAAGGACACCCACTATATTCAACTCTATATAACATTGTACTAGATGTCGTAGTCAGTGCAGTAAGACAGGAAAGCAATTTTAGAAATGAGAGAGAAGAAATAAAACTGTCACTAATTGCTGATGATACATGGGTTCACATAAAAAATTGTAAAGCGTCCACAGATTATTACAATTAATAAGAGAGTTTAGTAAGTTTATTGAATGCAAAGTACAAAATTCAATTGTATATCTCTATACAACAATGCATGTACAACAAATATATTCTAAAGTATATTATTTATATATTGTAAAAGACAAAGTACTAAGGGTAAATCTATTACAACATTTGAAAAGCCTTAATGGAAGAAATTATAGAACTGTATTGAAAAATCTTACAGTAATCTCATATTAACAGAAAAATTAGAAGATTCAATATAATAAATATGTCAGTTCTCTTCAAGATAATTATGGATTCTGTATAATTCCAACAAATCCCCAATATTTTTTATGCGTATGCCTGAAGCTTGACAAGCTGATTCTAGAATGTATACAATAGAACAAAGGCCAAACGTAGCCATGATACACTTGGAAAAAAGGTATGAAGTTGGTAAAGTTGCCTCATCAATATTTGTTTTAAAGCTGTGGTAATTAAGACCATGGAATTGGTACAAAGATAGGAAAGGGACCAATGGAACAGAATAGAGAACCATGAAACACATACACATGGGTATATGACAAACCTGTACATACATACAATTGACATATATACCACATGGAGCTGACATAGCAGATCAGTGAGAGAAAGACTGGTTCTTAAATAAATGATACTGGAATAATTGGTCATCCACAAGGACAAATATAAAATTGAACATCTACCTACACCATACCAAAAAAATCAATTACTATTGCCTAAATATGAAAGGCAAAAATACAAAATATTTAGAAAGCAATAAAATAGAATGTTTTTATAAGCTAAGAGTGTGGGAGGATAACCTTAAACCAGACATAAAAAATCATTAATCTTAAAATATAAAATTGATAAATTCTGCTTTATTAAAATTAAGAATTTCTGGTCATCAAAAGCCCATAAAGACAGTGAAAAGAACCATAAGCTTGACAAAGGATTTGTATCTAGGATATATAAGAAACCCAAGCATTAATAGGAAAAAGAAGCAAAAGCCTAGTAAAGGCACTTTACACAAGAGGAAGTATGAATGGGGAATAAACACTTGAAAAACTGCTCAAGCTCATTAGTAGTTGGAAATGCAAGTTAAAACACCATGACATACAAATGAAACCCACTGAATTTACAGTTTACAAAGTCTGATAATATGAAGTGTTGGCATTTTTGAGCAACTAGAATGTGTGTAGAATGCAGATATAAGTGTATGGTGGTAAAAACCTATTTTGAAAAATAATTCGGCAGTTTCTAATAAACTTAAAATTTTCAAACTCTATGATCCAGGAAGTATGTGCTTAAACTTTTACACATGTGTACCATATGATACATACAAATTGTTCATTGTAGTACATCAGAATTGAAAAGATTTCTGGGAAAAAAAACACAAATATTCATTGTGTTTTTAATAGGATAAACAAATGGTAGCATATTTACAAAAAGGAATACTATACAACAGTAGAGAAATGAGAGACAGAGAGAGGGAGGGAGGGAGGGAGGGAGGGAGAGAATATGAATTAGAGCCATAGGAAACTTTAATAAACTCAGAAAACTAACACTGAACAAAAATAATGTTCTGGAAAAATACTGGCAGTATAAATTCTTTCATGTAAATTAAATTGCAAAATCGAATGATAGATTGTATAAGGATAAAAATATATAAGATAAAACTAGAAAAAAAAAGCTTCTACACAGCAAAAGGAACAGTCAGCAGAGTAAACAGACAACCCACAGAGTAGGAGAAAATCTTCACAATCTATACATCTGTTAAAGGACTAAAATCCAGAATCTACAAAGAACTCAAACAACTTAGCAAGAAAAAAACAATAATCCCATCAAAAAGTAGGCTAAGAATATGGATAAACTATTCTCTAAAGAAGATATACAAAGGGCTGACAAACATAAGAATAAATGCTTAACATCACTAACTATCAGGGAAAAGCAGTGAATCCAGGACGAAGGTTATCTCTAAAGGAGTAGAAAAGATATGTGACTTGGGAACAACACTCAGAAAATTAAAGTTAATAGTAAGGCACTATTTCTTAAATTGGGTGATAATTGGGTGATAAGAACATGGCTTTAAATTATAGCATTATTCCTCATAACTTACTTATTTTATTCTGTATGTAATTTATAACTAATAAAGAATTTAAAAAGAAAATAAGGATGAAAATTGTAAATTATGTGTTGATAAATATTTACATCAGAGACAGTAGGTTTTTTTTTTTTTTTTCCTCTGAGACAGAGTCTCTCTCTTTTGCCCAAGGCCCACTGTAACTTCCGCCTCCCAGTTCAAGAGATTCTCCTGCCTCAGCCTCCTGAGTAGCTGGGATTACAGGTGCCTGTCACCCTGACTGACTAATTTTTATATTTTTAGCAGTGACAGGGTTTCACCATGTTGGCCAGGCTGGTCACCAACTTCTGACTTCAAGTGATCCTCTGACCTAGGCCTCCCAAAGTACTGGGATTACAGGTGTGAGCCACCTGGCTGGGCCCAGAGACATTAGGTTTTAGTGAACAAGTGGTTTTAGCAGATTGTGAACTGGTATATTTAAGAAAGGAGAGCATGTTATTGGGTTTGTAAGAAGATCATTAGAAACTCCATTTAGAGCTTCAAATCTGATTTGAGTGAGATATAATTTAGGGTTCTGAGTAGAGGAAAGACCCAAGAATGAACCATGAAGACAGTGACTCTTGTATGACTTGGAATAAAGTACAGCCAAGATAGAGGATGTCTGAATGTTTTAGATGTGACACAGTTGTAGCCAAAAAAGCATGCAAAAGAAAAACAGATTTCTACAAGTTTTTTAAGCTTTGTAATGATGGTAGAGGCACATGCCCATGAAAATATCATCAGACACCTTTTATGTATTTCTAGCTTAGACTTGATGACATAAAATAAACATGTAAAATTATTCTCATCAATAAATAAAAAGCTTGAGACTTAAGTCTATTGACAAAATATTGCAGCATTTATCTTGTTTTTAAAAATAATATACTGTCAGTGCTTCTGAAGACACACTTAGGAGCTTGACAGCATATTTGTAAGATGAAAAACCTTTCCTGAAATATTGTTATACTCAGTATTTCCACACAGTAGCCTCCCTTCAAAGATATTAAAAAACGCCAAAGAAAATACTTTGTCACTTGTAAACATTGAAGCGT